AGTATAGTATAGTATAGTATAGTACACTACAGTATAGTATAGACTCGTGACGTACAGTATAGTATCGTATAGTTTAGTATAGTGTAGTATAGTGTCGCAGAGTATAGTATATTAAGTAATATATAGGTCCTGCATGTGCGCTCCACGAGAGTGCCTGCACAAAGCCTTTGCCATCAGCCGACACTCCTTTCCAATGCTTTCCATCGGTGATCTGGGCGAAACGTGAGGTATCTGCAGAAGACGAAGCAACAGACACACCCATGTGGGGCCCCGACGAAGGATGCATTCTTCACTTTCTGAAGGACCTGACCAGCAACTCTCAAGAAGGGACAGAGACCTCCATTTTCAGATCCTGACAAGGAGCCTGTTCAACCGTCTTCCCGGTGAAGGGGTGCTTGCCAGAGAGGAGGAGGAAGGCGATGACTCCAACACTCCAAGTCTCAGCATCATGCCAATATGAGATGCCTGGTTGTTGACATGCTACTCAAGGGCTTAATATATGATATCCGACAGCATACGCTGCATAGTAACATAGAGGTTGAAGTCTAAAAGATCCCCTGAGCCCTAGGCGTCCACCTTCTCGTCATAGCGTCCAGAGAGCACCTGCAAAATGGCTCAACGGACGTTGCAGGGTAGAAGCTAATGCAACCCTTCCCCCCCCCCGGGAGAAGTCATGCACCTCCGGTGCCACGTAGTTAGGAGTCCCCGCCTCGATTTGCGAACTGCTGCGGGCATCTCGTGCATTCGGCTGAGCGCTACGCCGCAACAGCCCCGCCTTGGTGCGGGCCGGCTCACCCGGTTTGAAGCGCCTTCAGCCGTGTTTACCCTTTGCAGCATGGTGTACACAATGGGGTGGCTCAGGGGTGCAGTCATCTCATCTTGAGCCCGCGCTTTGCCAGGCCGAAGTCGATCAGCTTCAGCGATGACTTGCCGATCTCGGCGGCACAAGGAACAAGGGAAAACGCGCGGAGGTCGCGAGCCGAATGCCTCCTCCTTGGTGGCGAGGAGGAAATTCTCTGGCTTCAGATCCTCACAGGTCAGCCAGGCAAAAAAGTGCTGGAAGGTTACAGCGGCGTTCGAGGACCGGGCGCGGTGCATGATGTTGTTCCTCGGAACCAAAATATGGTGACACTTGGATCTTCTTCGCGTCTGCGCTGGGATCGGAGCATATGCAAGTAGTTGATGGCTCGGAGCATATCTCGCACACATCCTCTTCGAGGCCAGGCCGTTCCGTGTGGCTGCTCCGCTCAAGTGCCAGTGAAGAGGGCTCTTTTTTTCCCCCACCTGCAGCTTGTCTTTCCGTGATGGACCCTTGGGCGGTGACTCTGTCTATGAGCTCTCCTGCGCCGAAGCGCGTCTGTCAGATTTCACCTCCGTTAAAGCAAATCCGTGGACCTCCTTCACAAAGCTCCAGCACAAGCTGCAGAAGCCGGTGATCCTGACGATTTGCCGCGGTGCTTGGCAAGCTTAAGAGTTTAAGATGACATGCCTCGAAGCTTTCTTGGAATCGCACTATGTTGGGATGATCCTGCAAGGATCCGCGACATCTTGAGTCAGGCACTATGCTATCACGGGGCCCTCTTCCCTGCTTCACGCCCCTGTCCAACAGGCGCATGATGTCGATCTCTTCTTTCAGTTTCTGTGGTTCCTCAACCTGGCCACATGGCTTGCAGGACTCTGTACTTCCCGTCTGTGGCGGCTAGGCTGAAAATCCCAACTCTTAGACTCGGCGTGCCCCTTTCTTCCGGATCGACTTGATCGCACAGACTCTTCCCGTCCGCTTGTCCCTGACGAATCCGATGTCCGGGAAGCCGGGGGCGATGCCGGAGTCACGACAGGCCTTCCCCGCCGCACAGATCCGAACCCTCCTTCGCCGAGCTTGTGCTTCTCCAGCTCATAGAAATCCTCTCTATGCACAACAAATGCAGCATGGAGGAAAAGCCACGACGATTATTGGAGCGTGCGAAAGCCGCGGCCTCTATGCGGCCGGTGTTTGTAGCAGCGAAGTTCCCCAGAGCGAAGCCGCCATCTTTGACCTTTCGGCACTGCTTTTCAGCTGCGTCAGAACAAGCGATGACCCCAGCGCCTGTAGATTTGCTCGTTTCTGCAACTGTGCGCCCGAATAAGCCTTAGCTGCAGCTCAACAAAGACGCTGCCAGTCGCTCCAGTGAGGAATCAGTGAGGAATTCTGAAGCAGCTCAGGCGTCAGCTGATGGATCACCATCAGCAAAGTCGTTCGCGGCCTTCGCAGTGGCTTCTGCACGACTCCAGAGACAGCGCACGGCACACATGAGTTGCCTGATGGCTGTTCCTGCGCTCTTGTTGCACTGGCTGGTGTGGAATCTGTGCAGGATTCGCAGCCTGGGCCGTCCGAAGTGTGCAGACGCGTGACTCCTCTGGACATGCGAGCATATAAGGCTTTTCGGAATGACTCGACTTCCTGGGTACGGTGCTTCAGTTCACCTTCACACTTTGGACGAACACATGGCAAGCCACAGGAACACGTACGCCAGAGCCGCAGATAGCAGCTGGCAGTGCGACTGGACTTTGCTATGGACTTCAGTAAGTCGGTTCTATATAGTGGCAGGCATAGTAAAATATGGACAAAGAAAGACCCTAGCTTTGAGCATCTTGAGAAGATGGCCGATTCGGTGGATTCAAACAGTATTAGCAATAGTCATAGTAATAGCGTTAGCAGTAGTACTAGTCAAAGTATTTGTCATAATCATAGTAATCGTATTAGTTCTAGTAATAGTAACACTAATTTTAAAACTAGTAAGAAAAGTATTGACAATTGTCATAGTAAATATTGTAATAGTATTAGCAATCGTCACAGTAAGAGGCTTAAATTGCCAGTACAGGCCAGGTCTTGGACGATTGTTCTGCGATTTTTTGTGCTGGGTATCCTTAGCGGGTGTCCCCCTGCGAGGCTTCATGATCATTGATGCTTCAGTAGCAGAACATTAAAACACGAAGCCATGCTCTGGGCACCATCACCTCTGGCTTCTCGCAGCAGTGGTGGCACGCGCCACCCATCCTGGCAACATTGGCGTCTCTGCTGCACTTAAGTCGAAAACCATATGCAAGTCAGCACAGGTCATCGCATGTGGGCACCACTTCCCGCGAGAAGCAGAAGAGACTCGCACAAACCGCAAGATACAGGCCCTCAAAACCAGCAGGCGCGCCAGTTTGTCGTGCATGTGGCTCTACCTACATGGAACTATTCTAGTAACATTGGAAGCAGCGTAGCAGCATTGCAACTATGGCAGAGGCTATGCCTTCATGTTATACTGAAAGCTAAGGTATGGCTTCGTATACTGCGCTTCAGACCAGAGCATGCCATGGCTAGCAAGGTGATGTTCGCAGGCTCAATCTGCGCAAACATTAGTTGCCTTCCGAGACAGAATATGCTGCGAAAGGTTGCGAATTTCAGCATGCAAGCTGTTATCCAGACCCACTGAGACAGACCGGACATGTGCAGGAGCACCAAACAAAACCTGGGCCGCTACGTGGTCCGTCCGAGACGCATGCTGTCCATAAAGGAGAACCGTGGACACTTTGGATCGAGGTGAAGGGGCCTTCAGGAACACACCAAGAAGATTGATGAAAAGATGATCGCGAAAATCGCGACATGCAGGACCTTACCTATGCAGAAGCGCAAGGATACAGAAGGTGATGAAGACGCTGTGAAGGAATCAATGGAACGCTTCGCCACCCACTTGCCTGCGCGAAGCCGGTGCTCGCAGAAAGCAAAGTGAGTGTCTGGGGAGTGATGGTTTCCTGGCACCTAGCGGAACACACATGGGGCACGTTCGAGCTGCAGCCCTCTTTCGGTCTATGGGCTGCAGACTCGACAGCTGGAGCGGAGCATTGTCTTAGTCCACTTACTAACGGGCGGTTATGATTTGCTTCTGCCGTCACCGCGCTGTGACAACTTGTGCCGCTCGTCCATCCGTCGCAGCAGAACCTATTCGCCCAGGTCCTACACTCCTCATGTCTATTTATCCCTTTCCAGGTTTGAAACCTGTTATATGGTCGAGCGACAATGCGCAGCACGTCGCTCATGGTGTCAGGGATAGTAGAGAGGATAAACTGCGCAAACCGGTAGCATCTGTTTGGCTTTTCCTTGGCTTCTGAGCCCCTTTCCAAAGCTAAAGCTGTTGGAGGAGGGATCTCTCGATGTGGATGCCAGCTTGTGAGACAGTGCTTTGAGTGCCTTTCGCACTTTTTGCCTGCACGAAGTGGCATCCTGCTGGGCTGTTGCTAAGGCTGATCGGTCTCTGTGTCTTGCAGTAGTAGGAGGCTTCTTGGTGTCACAATAATGATGATTATGCACAGGAGTGAAACAGAAGCTGGCTCGGGACTCGGGTTAGTGTCCTTGGCCACGAAACCTTGGGAGCGACAAAGGTTTCATTCCACACTCACATCTGGAGCTGCTACTCAGGGCGGGGCAGCTTCATGGGATCTTCGTAGATGGGAACGTCATCATCGTACGAATTAACCTGCAGCCGAAGAATCCAACAAAGATCAGACGGTCGCACAGCCTTGCCCCATCTCTATGCAAGCGGCATGCCTAGGAGACTACAATGCAGGACACCCGAACACGCAACAAGAACATGGCACCAACTTCGAGATGACGTCGAGCCTGCAGAAATCCTGAGTCGTAATCCATCACGTTCTTTGGCGTCGACATGCTCATGCACAAACCTCGGAAGTCAGGACAACTGCAATTGACTACCCGAAGGGGGCCGGGAGTAGAAACCAAACTCAATGAGACGGTCACTTCTGACACAACATAAGACGATGCCGACGGCGACGAGCACGAGCATTCCCAGCCTCGCACGTGCCCATGGCTGACATGGTGCAGACTTCATGGCAAACCTTGTTTGCTCCCACTCAGGCTCCTACCCAATGTACCACAGTAGCTGCTGCCCCTGGCATGGACCAGGGACAACTGCCAGAAGTCAAATATCTTCCGGGCCGGCGATTGAATTGCCCTGCCTTGCCGGGCAGCGAGCTCTGTAAAGGAGCAGGAGTTGTCACCGATGCCTCGTAAACCTGGGTGACAGCTCCAAACCAAAGGGCCAGCGTCTGCCCGCAAGAGCCCGAGGGGCTGACGGAGGCAGCACCGATGCTAATTTGCCCTGTAATGGCGTCGGAATTTGCCCCTGCCGGGAATTGCGATTCCGTCTCGAGTCACACAGCTCTCTCCGAACACGTGCCTAGGGCATCCTCTACCTGGCAAAGGTCAGCTCCGACAGAGCTTTCAGCGGCAACCGACAAACCCAACAAACTTGCAGAAGCAGCCCTCTTCCGGATTTCGGACTCAAACAGAGATCCGCCCAGAGTGGATTCTGCAATGAACGCCTTGGGGAGAAGCAGGCGAGTTGAGATGAGAACCGTACGGGCAAAGCCACTTACACACACGTATACAACGAGTGGCCATGCTAGGAGTTGGCAGGTGAAGCTGTCCGTGAACCAACGTGGCCTTGCCTCAAGCAGTCCACAGAACATCTTCTGCTAGGACATCAGGCAACAGCAAAAGTATGAATATTGATGCAATTGATGCATGCTGTCATCTTTTGTCTCTTGTTGTCATCTGTCGTGCGCCCATCTAACCACACCCACGACTGGCTCGCTGCCCATCATGGCTTCCAGGTGCCCTTCTTGGGTTCAAAGGTGCGTAAGCTTAAGGTCGGGATGCTCCAGCCTGTCTTAGGCGGCCGTGTGCCTGTGTCCTTGTGAAAGGCCATCAAAAGGCCATCTTTGTCACTGAACCACCAGCCACATAGCTCAGGATCATCCGGCTCCTTCCAATAGTGGATACAGTGCTGCCCACGCTCCTTACGGAAGCTGGGGCGCCCGTAGAGCTGCCCAACGGCTCTGTAGCTGCCAGCAAGGCTCAGCCGCTTCGGATCGCTGCAACAAACGCAGAGTACTGGAACTGGCTGGCTGCCGCGAGTGTCATCCGTCGATGGCTTTGTGGAGGCCGGCGACTCGTGCATGATCATCTTTCCAGCAGCTCTCATGGAAGCATAGATCGCCTCGATTTTGCTGTTCATTATGAGCTTTGTCTCCTCTGGCCGCCCTCGTGGTCTCTCAACTCGGCTTGCCTTCTTGGAGTCGTCACTATCACTTCTGACCCGTCTGGGCATATCCTGCGCGTCATCAGCATCTTTCAGAGAGATGACCTTCAAGCGAAAGGAGGCACCACCCACTGCAGGGTTGACTTGCTGCAGTTGCGCCTCTGTCAAGTGGGAATTGATGTTATTCAGCAGAGACCTTCCTCCCGCTTTTGCAGAGAGCGTCGCGACGCGTGATGCCATCTGCATGTTAGGGGTCAGGATCTGCACGTGCACGAGTGTGCTACCAGGCGAGAGCGTGACACGAACTGCCTCGAGTGGAACTTGAGTCTGCTGTGCAAGAGCCTGCCGTACAGCCTTCACCACTTTGCTGTGACTCTGCAAAGAGGACGTCGCGGTGCCAAAATCCATCCTAATCGATCCTGTCGTCGGCATGAAGTCGAAGACCGTCACCGACACCTCCGACCTTGCCGGTGCCGATGGCGCGGGCTTGGGCAGCCGCCCTCCTCGTCGGCTAGGACGGCCAGGATTGCACAGCCAAGCACACAGGCACCCGAACGATGGCATCATGGCGCTGGGTCCAGTCACTGACTGGTGGCAGCTTCTTTGTTGGACCCCAAGGTGGCAGCTTGTTGTCGCCCTACGGAACTTAAGGACGCAGTGCAGAAACTCTTTTGGTTTAGGTTCACCCGGAGCTGTGAGCCGGGAGCAATACAGGGATCTGGTTGCAGCTGCTACTGCTACAACAGGTTCTGTGAGGTTGAAGGTGCGTGTCGTGCCCCATACTGATGCCTGACTTTCACAAACCCATTGCCCAACCTGGTTTCACAAGTGGCCATTGACTCGGCATCCACTCGTTTCGCATGGTGCCTGGCCCGCGGCACTAGGCATTCTCACTTCTCTACTGCCAGAATTTTCGCAGGACACTGCAGGAGCAGGCCCCGTCCTGGATTCAGGTCCACCACTCCGACTCTGCCCGCGGCGTTGCTGATCGCGTCATCCCTTCCACGTCTCTTTCTGCTCTCGGGCTTTCCATCGCTCTTCAAACGGGCTCAGGTGTGACAGGGTGAGACCCCGACCGGAGCCCCAAGGATGACGTGATGCTTTCACCCAGCGTGGAAGGAAGGGTCTTCATGTCCTTCCAAAGCCAAAATATTAGTATTACTATTGCTATTATTACTAAAAATATTATTAGTATTCTTCTTATTCTTATTATTGCTAACATCATTATTGTTATTTAGGACTTGCTGGGCTTTCTGGCGGGACGACCTGTCCTGCGGGGTGAAGGCAGTGTAATTCAGGAAATCCACGAGAATGTTCAGCTGGCCGAGGTTCTGCCTGAGAGATCAGTCTGCTGGGCTCTTGTTAAGGGTTTTTATTCAAGTTACCATATAAAGAGACCATATTATTCATTATTATAAGTCCCCATTATGGTAACTTGAATAAAACCCCTTAAAAACGCGGTCAAAGCCTGACAGGATGTGACAAGGCTTGGCTTCGCCCAAGGTCGACGCCCTGCTGCAAGTGTCACGAGAGCCTCCAGAATTCGGAAATGAGAGGCAGGCAGCGGGCTCTCTTCCTCTCCGTAACCAAGAGCGGAGCCAAAAGTAGACATCCTGCTATTCTCATCACGTGGACCTGACTTCAGTACTCGCAACTTCTGAAACCAGCGGCTGGCGACTTGCCTTCCGCAGAGCCTGTGCGCCCTGCTACTACCAGCTTGCGGGTGCTGTTGACCCTCGAGAGCCCAAGGCCACGGTAGATTCAGGCGCCTCGTAGCCAGAAAGCAAGGAGCTTCAACCCAACAAGCGGTGCATAAAGGTCGTGCTGGCCGCGACTTTTTGTTTCTGCCAAGCTCCCTACCTGCTATGAGACCATGAAGCGTCGGCGCCAAAAAATCACAGGGCAGCTGTGCGCAAGAGAGCTATCCACAATCATCACATCATGGAATCCTGGCAAAAGCTGAACCCTGAAACCTTGAGATTGCTTTTCTTGCTTGGCTGCCCTTCCTCTGCCGTGGCAGTCTAGCGAGCGTGCTCGAGATGGCACGGGTGAAACTGAGTGAGGCCCATTCGTCCGAGGGTTCTTCGGGTTTCACGTCTGGAACAAGTCGGCTGAAGCGATTCTGATGCCACGTCCTTTTCTATCGGTGCCTGGAGGCTCACCCATCATGCATCGAACTACGGCCAGCTAGAGGCCAGCTGCATTGCAATGATTGCAGAAACCTCTATAATCCTGATTCGGAACTTGGAATTCTACAGATGCAGAATCAAAAAGCAGCTGGCCCAACAGCGAGCACTTTGGCTCGCAGCGCCCTGCACATCCCGACCACCGACCTACAACTCAGCTTCAACTGAGAACCAATTCGTCTTCTCCGGTTCAATCCAGAGCCAGCCGCCCCCTGGTCTCGGAAGCAGTAAGCGTCCAGAAGAGCTCTTCTGCTTGAGGGCATCCCACACATCTGACACCACCACATCTGACACGAAGGTGCCCACCGCCACTCTCAAAGCCTTGACAACCTGCGAGCATATGTCACCAGGTACATGGCCGAGGACGCTTGGATGCACAGGTGGGCAATACTTTTTGGCAGCTCCTGCCATTATCCACAGAGCACACGGCCTGCAGACAGCAAGCCAAACCTGGACGGCCGAGGTGACGTCCGTGCCTGTGAGGAGCGGTGAGGAAAGATCCTCGTTGCGGAGCAGCTGTGGACCCTCCGGGAGGAGGGTGACGTGGGGCCCAACTTCTTCACTGGAATTCAGCAGGGGCAGTGCCGCTGCAGCAGTGTCTCGTGCAAGTCGTGCAAGAGCCGTAACGCACAGGGCCCAAGCCTCCACTCCCGAGGCTAGGGCCTCGTTTAAGAGGTACGGCATCTCATGCCAATTTCTTGCAAGAAGGCAGGCCTCAAATTCAGCGCAGCATGCCAAAGTGCCGGTGAAGTTGAAGGACGGCACCCGTCCTCCCCCGCGGCACAAAGCCGAGCAGCAGCTTGACCAACTTGATTGGGCTTCCATGGCCGTGGTAAGCCGATCCCTTGCCTCCTTCGCCTGCGGACCACACAGCAACCACGCCACTGCCGCCAAATCGTCCGGGCTCACATCGCTAAGGTCAAGATCCGAACGAACAGACGAGGCGGAAGCAGAGAGAAGGCAGCTAGGCACCGGCACTTCCCCAGCCGCTGCCTTGCCCCCTAGCTTCGTGAAACCTGTGAAGGTGGGCTTCTGGCCGTGACCCGCCTGCAAGAGTGCGTGCCAGGCCCAGTAGGCGTGCGGGCCACTACACAGGATATCCCAGAATCGCTGCGTCGGGTCACTGGAGGTGCGCACCAGCACAAAGGTGAGACCCTGTCCGGGATGCGCTGCAATGAGGTCCAAGAGCCCACAGCAGTCCGGCTCTGTATCCGGGGTGTCCTGCGAGTCCTGCATGGGCTTGGCCTCATTGGTCTCAAAGTCAAAGGCCAGGATGAAGCCAGGCTCCAGATCCGACGCATCAGCACGGGCACCGGCGTCGCTCTCGCAGTCCAGCAAGGCGAAGTAGTGCAGCGCCAAACTCTTCACATGAGAAGCACTCTTGGCATCATAGCCCAAAGCACCGTTTGCCAGGAGGTCCCGCAGCGCGGTTCGAAGTGAAGGTGGCGACTGCTTTGGAACGCCATGCTTCACATCCGTCCACAGAACCCGCACGTAGGCTTGCTGTGCTTTGCCTCTCTCATGAGCTGGTCGCAGGAGCTCTGCCACAGATCGACCTCACTGCTATTTAGTATTGCAATAGTATTCTTTTTTCTAAGTATCATACGAATATTGTATGTGGGAGCGGCCTGAAGAGTCCTAAGACCTCAAAGCTCAGCGACCTGAGGCACTGGCCGGGCTTTAGCCGGGGAGCAAAGTCAGGAACCAGGACCTGCACGCTAAAGCCCGGGTCACACAGCCAGCGGCAGAGAGCGGCAAAGAGGTGAGCTCCCTTAGCCAAGGCACCGAATTCAGAACCATTTTGTCGCAATCTCGCCAAGTCTTGTCCAGCCCCGGCACCGGACCTCGAGGCAAGGGGCTGATTGGCACTTCGGATTTTCCTGCTGCCTGCAAACATTCCCGGTCAATATCGTTGAACCCAGCTTGTTCACGGCCGTCCCCGAACACTTTCTTCAAATTACACAGGGTCGCCAAGATGCAAATGAGGCCGAGGTCAATCAAGGCTCTGCCGAGGGTAGCCTGAAACAGATTAGAAGAGGACGAAAGGAAGGATGGCGAATGGGCGCTTCAGCACACGCCGAAACGGTGAGGTTCTGGCAGACGACTGGCGGCTGCCGTGTCCTTTGACACCAACCGCGCTCCGCATGTAAAGTTCTCAGCTCTCCCCTTCCTGGCCTAAAGTCAGGATCGTCTCCAATCGTTCCCAAGAAACCTTGCACCAACACATAGTTGCCACATATCAACGGCAAAGCACTGACCGCGGCCAGGTAAAGCTGCCGGAAGGAAAGCCGAGGTGAGAACCAAAGCCGCCTGCCAGGGCGCTGTGCTGCTTGAGCTCGGAGCAGACCCCGTCAACCAGTTCACCTGAAGGCCCACGAAGCGTGCCGGCGTTCTTCAACACGCTCCCACGTCCGCTCATCGGGCGGCCTCCTGCGGAAGCGTGCTCCGCGCTGCACAGACCGCGGCCCATGCAATGGAGGCGGCCTGAGAATCGCACGTAGCTGCATCTGTCACAGAGTCCCCTTGTAAGCCGAGCTCCAGGCTGTTGGATCAACATAGGTTGAATCACCCTGCAGCCTGTACCTGTCTTGAACCGTCTTGGAAGCCAATGCAACCAGACTCACTCGGGAAGAAGAAGCGAAAGAGGCCCGGCGGCGCACGCCAAGGCCCGCCGGCCCAGGCTTTTTCCTGACCCACCGCAGACTAGGGCGGTGTCCCTCGCCAGGACCTGAGAGCGATATCGATGTGCTCAAGATTCGCAGGCAACAGACTGATACGAGCTCAGCATACATCAGATGCCGAGTCAGAAAGCTAAGTCATCTGTAGATTCGCAGTCTAGCTTTGGCAGTAATCAGCCAAGAAAACCTGCAGCGACTACGTTCCATGTTTGGGATGCTGACCTATCACAGCGCTTACCAACCAAGGGATCACACACAATCGAGTCCTGTACTTTCCAGGTCCTTGCTCACACTGAGCCACCCCGAACCATATGTTGTCTGGTCATGCTCATCTCGTGGATTTTCCCGAGAATTTTGCTGCCTTGCTGGGCGCCAAGCGCTTCGAAGGTCTCCCTGCCAGAAGAGGTAGTGCGCCGGTAGTGTAACTCATCTTGAGAGGCACGGCACTTGGCAGGCCGCGCCTGACCACACGGCGCCAGGTTTCCCACTTCCCCAGCTTCGGAAGCCTCGGCGCGGGCCTGCATGGCTGCTGTGTCTCACATAGCATGCTGCAAACTCTCCTGCCTCAATTTGCCCAACCATGTCTGCGACCATCTTCCCAAACCTAAGTACATGCAACAGTCGGTGCATGCCAGGCATGTGTTCTGCTGGGCTTCAAGCGCTCTCTTCAAGCTGTTCTGGCCCTCCTTTAGCGATGATGCAAGGAAGGCAGTGCGACTTGCAGGGTCTACCCGGAACATGAAGAGACTCGCAGATGAAGGTTGCCCACCTCTTCAACGACATTGCAGCGCATCGTCTGCAGATTGCCTTCCTTTCCCGCCGGCCTCCAGCAGGAGACGACTTCACAGGAATCGGAGGGTTTCAAAGCCGGAACAGCCCAATGTGTTATGGTGTAGGTCAAAGCCCAGACAGTGGGAAATTGGCAATGAAAGCGTCGCCATCCGGGATTGTACCCATGCGTGAACCGCCCAAACCAGCGTTTGCAGGCACATCTGAAACCATACACAGCCCTCGCCCCCGACGACATCTCGATGACTCACAAAAAGGGACTAGCGGAGGTCGTCATAAATGCGACAACTATAACACTCTGTAAGGCCCCTGGAAGTCCATCTTCTGACCGGATCGTCGACAGTGCTTATGCATCGGCTTCGGTTTCTGTCCTGGGCCCGCACCCCACCGGCCCATTCCCTTCGGTGGTGTTCTCCACGATCAGCGCACGCCTTCAATGGAAATCCGCCGCCCCTCCCACAGCTCAAGCTAAGCCTGGGAGGCCTCGGTGCGGAGAACTGTGCATCTGCAGAGATGCCTGGGCGAATCTGACCATTAGAACGGAAGAAGGATTCAGTTGTTGCTCTTGGTGTTCTTGGTGTTGTTCGTGGTGTTATTCTTGGTGTTGCTCTTGTTCTTGCTCTTGTTCATATTATTGTTCATATTCATGTTCATGTTATCTTGCTGTTGGTGCTTGTGTTGTTGTTGCTGTTGTTGCGAGGGCTCTTGTTATTGTGAATGTTATTGTTCTCGTTTGTGTTATTATGTTCTCGGTCGTGTTATTACTATTGTTGTTGTTATTGTTGTTCTCGTTGCTGTTGCTGCTGCTGTTTTTGTTGTTGTTGTTGTTGCTGTTGCTGCTGCTGTTGTTATTGTTGTTGTTGTTGTTGTTGCTGCTGCTGCTGCTGCGGTTGTCGTTGTCGTTGTCGTTGTCGTTGTCGTTGTCGTTGCTGTTGCTGCTGCTGCTGCTGCTGCTGCTGCTGCTGCCGCTGATGCTGCTGCTGCTGCTGCTGTTGTTGCTCTTGCTGCTGCTGATGATGATGTTTCTGATGCTGTCGTTCTTCTTGTTGTTGGTGGTGCTGCTGCTGCTGTTGTCGTTGATGTTGGTGATGTTGGCCCTGTTGGTGCTGTTGTTGCTGCTGCTGCTGTTGTTGCTTGTGGTGTTGTTGCTGCTGCCGTTGTCGTTGCTGTTGCTATTGCTGCTGCTTTTGACGTCGTTGTTGTTATGGTTGCCGTTGCAGTTGTGCTTGCGGTTGAGGTTGCTGTTGCTGTGGCTGTGCTGCTGCTGTTGCTGCTGCTGCTGTTGTTGTGGCGTACTGTCTCTGCCGTCGTCGTCGTCGCTGTTGTGATCATGGTCTGGAACCTGATAACAACAATCTTGCGTGTTGCTCACAGAAACACTGTCAACTCGCTGAGGACTGTTGTTATTGTCGCCACGCTCAAGATGTAGATCAGGTTTGCGGAATAAGCCCCACACCAAAAATGCTTTACAACATCTTGAGGGGCCGGACAGCAGAAGCCAAGGACGCGACACTTGCGGGCCATCGCTGCCGCCTCGCTGTCCAAATGGTCCACAACGGCCACCACGAACTGAGCTTGCGCGGCATTCACGGCATTCCACACCACGGTTCAGGCCGGCAATTGCTAAGCACATAGTCACATAGCTGTATGTGTTTTTGTATGTCACATCTGTATGTACGCCATGCATGCTGTCTCTGTGTGTGTGTGTGTCTGTCTCTGGTAGGATTCGGTAGGATGGCAAGCAAGTAGGCAGCTAGTAGGAAAGTATAAGACCTAGGATAAGAGGGGAGGTCGGCTTCTGCAGGTACGCAGGGGTGGCACAGGCAGGTCACATGGCAGGCCTGTAAGTCAGGAAAGTATTGCGGATGTGCGTGTGCGTGAAGTGCAGAGCACTGCAAGGAAGCAGAAGCCGGAGAAGCAACGAAACAGGTTAAGGCCAGGAAGGGGTAAAAGGCACCTAGGGGACCTTTCCTTCACATGTAATTCTGGCTGCAAAGTAAAAGCATACATAGAAGCATCCTGCACGGACATGTAGCGGAAAGCATACATGGAAGACCTTGTACAATTTATACAGATGTAGATGTGTGGAAAGAGCCAGCAATCTGCCGAGCGGCCGTCGACGCATCTGGATCCGTGACCAGGTGTGGCAAATTTGGGCCCAGCGTGGACATGGTGTCCCAAATGTAGACCTGAATTGGCTCCATCATCACATGAACGCAATTGGGTGGCTGTCGCGTGTTCTTGTGACTAGTGACTCGTGCGTACGCAGACTCAAAATGCTCTCGACTCAAGCAGTTCAACTCTTCTGGTTTCTTCATGGCGTGGCTTTCTCACAGGGATTTGGTATCTCCGGGGTCATCACTGCCGGCGGGTCTACTACCCGAACAGACTTACGCAAGAATAGCCAACACACAAAACATCATTGAAAGACTCTCCGGTCGCGATGACACTTCCAGCATCAAATCGGATCTTGCCTGCACGACAGGCTGTGCACCAGAGTTGGGCCAATGGCCACGGACCTGGCCAGTCAAGAAGCGACGCAAATACTCCGGGAGCATGTCAGGCAAGGTCGCCGGTGTTGCCACCCGCAGCCACGCGCCGGCATCCTCGGCAAAGGATAAAGCGAAAGCTGAGCCCGCTTGAATTGGCGTTCGGCCTCCTCGTAGAGGACGCCCAGGTAATCCGCCAAGACCCGTGACACGCTGCTCTTTCCCACCTCAGCCCCCAGGTCTCCAATCTCCCTTTGTTCATCGGAACCCTGGTGGGAGCCCAGCCCGCGGAGCTCCCAAGACCACTACACGAATCGCTGGCAATTGCGACACCTCGATCCCCAACATGCCACTCTGAGCTTCCACGTTTTGTCTTCGCTGGGCCTCTTCGGGCTGCCGCTGCAAGCCCGCACGGATGGCGGTCGGGCTCCAAGCACCCGCCTGTCACAGGCGTTCTCCGACCTCTGCTCCCATAGACAAAGAGTGGCCAAGCCTTCATGTAGTCTGTGGCATTTGCCATGGCCACCTGTTCGTGGGCCTGAGCGCGCATTGAAGCAGGCACGCGACGTCACCCGCAAAATCTCAGCCGCTGCCTCGTGTCCGAAGAAGGGCCATGGCCGGAAGCTGTGCTCCTGCTCGAGTCGGGAGCGATCATCGGCGAACAAAGTGCAGCAAAGGACGGCAGGCGCCGCTGGGGGTTGTGTTCAAAGCCTGTCACATTAGCTGCTCTCGTGCTTTAGCTTGGCTACGAGAACTTGTGCTTATACCGTCTTACCTACCATCGACAGCAGAGTAGGAAAGTCTTTGGTTTCTGATGTTTAGAACTAAAAGTGACAATGCCGACATCGAAGCTGGACCAATGATCGTGGCTACAGTGCTTCGACTCTGCTTCGAGGCATCCTCCTTGACTTCAAAGGGGGCAACGTCTTGCTTCTTTCCGTTGCGGCCTTGCTTTTGCAGACATCCCTGCGCATGAGCCAGTGCAATACATGTTGAATAAGTCTGGCCTGCGATTGCATCTTGCCAGTGGGCCTGAATGACTGATTTTGCTGCGAAGTGCTGGGCATGAACAGCAAACTCACAAGCACTGCAATGTCGTCGCACAGTGCCACGAGAGTCTGAGCTGCATGCAGAAGCAAAGTACCTGATCTGTACGCAAAGGATGTACGGACCGCGTCGGTACTCAAAACTAACGACTTGTTTCCATGGTGTGCAACAGGCCGCGCACGTCGCAGGGTGTCCGTTGTTCTTCTCCGCACGGTCCAGCCTCCTGGCCGGGACACCATGCCCGTAGGCGACCGAAACAGTAGCTAAATTTGAAATCAGCAGAATGTCTCTTCGTTACGAGCCTGCTTTCTGGCAGGATGTCTGCCAAAAGCGTAGGTAGGGGCTGAAGGCTGTCTGCGAAGGTGCAGTGCATCAGGTAGGTAATTCACCCAACACACGTTCGAGCTGAAGTGCGTCAGACACAGGGACGCCAGCCTTCTTCGGAAGCTAATCGCCTTGTCAACACCTGCACCTGCGCAACGACTCTAAAAGACATGTGAGAAGCAAAGAGATCCACACCGCTCCAAACAAAGAAGCTCGGGCGCAAGCGTCCGGTGGCAAAGCCGGTGTCACTTTGGACAGAAAAGCTTCGTCTGGGCGGAAGCCACGCTGCAACAAGCACCTTTTCAGTCATACCATCAGACTCGATGAGACCGAAATGAAAGTTCCAGTTCGACGTCGCATCATGACGATTTAGCCCCCAACTCCACCAGCAGCCGTGCCGGAGCCCATGGATCATCTCCACTCGCCCTCCAAGGACGCTTCTCGAGTTCAACCCTCGCGCGCCGAAGTTAGGATGGCCTCCTCAGCCAGGGCAAGGGCAGCATCCCCGGCCGGAGCTCCAAGGGAACCTGCGTCAAAGTCCCGGACTGTGCTCTCGGCATTCCCAACATATCACAACATCATGCCAAGGCAAGGCACACGGTGCATGGGTGTCGGGAGCTGTGCCGCAAGCGGGTGAAGGACATCACCTGACAGGCGGGGACATCCTTCAAAGAAACCATCGCAGGTTTGCTCAGGCAGCCACCCACTGGCATGCTGCAGGTGGAGTAAAGGCATTCGTCAGGATGTGGTCCCGGCACGTGTGCTCGTAGGCCAGCTAGAGCAACCTGAAGGACAACTACGCGCCAAGCACAGACCCCCGCTGCTCTAACAGACGTCTCGCCGAGCTCGACTACGTTCTTTCAGGTTGTCAACCGCCCCCGCTCCGGGAGAAAGCACAGATTTAACGGCAAATGAAACCACCGACGAAGGCATCCATCCCTGATGTTAACCCAAAGGCCCTTGCCCCCAATCACCAGACCACACAGCAGGCGGCCCAACGGCAAAGACCCGCGAACGGACTTTTTCCAGTTTACCAGTGTCAAATGTGGCTGGCAGTTGGGTGCACAGCTATGAAGGCTTGAAGACACGACATCCTTCCGACTGGCGATGACAACCGTCTGCGGCTGCACAGACTCAGCACATTCCACAAAAAAGGGACAAGCCACATCTGACCCCCAGCGATGCGACATGGGCGTGTGGACGTCTGACGAATCAGAACACGGTCCACGGATAGCTGTATTAAATAGTTCGAAACGATGTCGCTGTATCGGTGTCATGGCACTAACTGCGCTAACAGCTAACATCTCATCCTCCATCTATGCCTGCATGCATAATGCAACATGCTACACGGGTCTGTCATCACAGTGATGAGCCCTGGATACCTGGTGACACAGTGGCCTCCTCGGCATTCCGTCGCTGCAGGCCGCTGGCGAAGCGCCGCAGCGACTCCACGAGCACGAAGGTGGCGCGAGTCGCGTGGCCTCTTTAGGTGCTACCACCACCGATCACTGTCATCTTCACGCCGCTGTCACAGAGTCACGTGCATCACACTATCGCTTCATATCGCTCATATCGCTTCTTGCGTGCTGGTTTTTGCTCTGGCCTGCCGGCTTCTCATCCTCTGGCGTGCATGGCCTCCAGACAGCACCGAGCGCCGACGCGCGCATCCGCGACTACAATCTCCGCCGACTCAGAAGCCGACACATTTGCAGCGCGATCGCGCTTGCCAGGACCTCGAAGCACGCCGCTCAGAAAGAGAGCAGCAGAGGGAAGGAGCCCTCTTCGCTGCCTGCAGCTCCCAGGGCCATCTCCACGTTGATGCAGGCAGCGCTCTTCAGGACCTACAGTAGAGGCAATGCCGAACACTTGACACAGAGAGCCCCGTGAACTTGCGGCGAGCCTCGCAAGCGAGCTCATATTCGCAGCATCTCACTGCCAGCCTGCAGAAAGTCAGACTGATGCAGAGGGCATTCAAGCATCGCATGAGTGCTTCCAAGACGCAGCAGAGGGCCACAAGCATGGCCACTACCATCACCTCGAAGCATATTACACAGACAAGTTCCTGCGGCAAAAACACCTGATCAACCATCTGCTACGGTCGTTGGGCCTGTTGGGGTTGCATGCGGATCACCTGCAGGCTTCCCGAAATATGCTCAAAGTCCTCACAAATCTAGCTGGTGCGGCACGGGCCTGCAGCGCGGAGCAACAGCCTCACGAGCTTGGTGGAGCGACTCGCTGCTGCCAGCAGCAAGGGCTGCACAAACTGTGTGAGCCTAAGCTCTCCAAGGCGACACAGGGCCCATCAAGCTTTGCAGCCCTTTATTGGAACTCACTGGGGCGGCAGACCCAGATTCCCCCGTCAGCGCGGTGGGGCGCACGCGGCCGCGCCGAAGAAGCTGAGTCACCAGACCCTCGCAGCCAGCCTCAAACGGACAGGTAACGGAGTCGCAAAATCTAGCGGATTTCTTTGCCAGTTTTTGACTGCAGCTCTGGAAGTGAAAGTCGCACACTCCTGGAATCTGAGGGCAGTGCCCAGCAAGCCCAATCCAAGACCGATTTGCCTGCCATGAGGTGCTTCAACTCACTGAAACCCGACGCATGGCACTGTGCAAGCCCTTGGCTCCAGTGGCCTGAAGAGTCTCGGTAGTTGGGATCTGCATGTCGTTCGGTCAGCCAGGAAAGGACCTGATGGGCAGAGTTTACTAAAGGCACAGGCTCACATTAACGTGGCAGGGCGGGCTCAAAGGGTCGGTGTTTTGTTCCTGCCTGGGATTGGCTGAGCAAAGGGTTGGCATAGATGCCACGCGCTGCCCAGAGCATGAGATCGTCCACCGCCATCCCTGGCACCGCGGGGATTGCACGTGCAGTTTGCAGAAGCGCGGGATGGACTCGTGCCTTTCGCCGCTTCTCTGGATCCTTCGGTCAAGACTTCCAGCAACCTGCTTCCGACGCCCGGCTTCCAAGCGAACTTCAGAATCATCATGTCTGGTCTCAAGGGAACTTGGCCACCGACTCGACGGAGCCAACCCAGGCCGCCAGAGGTAAGCAACTGCCGGACAGGTGTAAGGAATTCCGCAAACTTGTCATGCCTCCCACTGCTGATGCCCAGTAACTACTATTTAGTGCTCTAGTGTCGGAGGAACTCTCTATCCAAAGCGCCCAGTCTGCAGATCCATTCACCATGGTAAGGCCCGCTGCATTCATGTTGTGATTCCACGTGTCTCCCTGTCTCGCGTCTACTTCCAAGACCCAAGACCTTATCTCTCCAACAGTCTCTAATAGACTCTAATACATTCAACTATGCATCTGCTATTATGATAACTTACATCATTGAAGGTGCAATCCTCGTCTCTTGCTGAGGGCCCCACCAGCGATGCACTGGAAAGCCCATTGTCAGCAGCACTTGCAACGTAGCCGCGAAGAATCGAAAGACCTGCACATGAAAAAAGGAGCCGCGAGCGCAAAAGTGGATCTAGCCACCCTACCCTGAACCCCAAACCTCTAAACCCCTAAACCCCTAAACCCTAAACCCCTAAACCCCTAAGTAGCCTCAGACACGTCGGTCGGGCAGTCCTTGGACCTGGAGCTTTGCCTGCGGCTCTTCCAAGGCGCTAGTTGAACAATATTGATATCGTTATTCTTACTAGCAGTAATAATATTCATCATGATACTAACCATATAATATAATATAATATAATA